ATGGGTTTGTTCCCATTTCCCGTCATAATATCATTCATGTTTCCATCAATATCACCAATTCCAGCTCCTGGATAGCAAACCCTTAATCTGTTCCCCCTATCTCTGGCACAAAACGTTCTGTCTAAATACCTGACCTGGGAATCTCCCTCAACCAAAAGGCCTTCGCTTGCCTTTGTTCTTATGTTCTTATTAATTTGTGTTTCCCTGTTAGTTAACACTAAATCTAAAATATTATTTTCCCGCGTTGGTTCCTTAATGTGTTGCGTAAGAAAGCAATCGTCAATTAATTCTAGAAAATCTTCTGCTTCACTATTCCCTGTTTTGTTCACCCAGTTTATTCCACTAAAATTAAAGTCACCCATGACATAAATACTGTTAGATCTAGATGCTCTAGATATTTCATTCCATAGATGCATTGCTTCCATTCTGTCTAAATTTGGTGGCCTATATATAACTCCTATTATAATATTATTTGCTTTTTCGTTTAATTCTATCCAAATAGTTTCCGTGTGTGGCTCAGTTTTGATTCCCTCTTTGAGACTACATTTCAAATTGTCCCTAACATATATGGCTACTCCCCCTCCTCGTCTAATATATCTATATGTGTGAAATAGTTTAAATCAATTTATCTGATATTCAGCAAATAGTTCTCTATTTTCTACGTTCATCCACGTTTCGGTAAGTGCAATAATATCTATTTTTTCTGTGTAGACAAGAGCATTTAATTCGTTAATTTTATTTCTTAGACTTCTACTGTTAGTGTAATATACCCTAAGTGAATTGTTATTTTGCGGACCTTCTCTTTCCCTGATCGTTTTGCCAATTCCTTTCGCCCACAAACACATACTTTTATTACCTCCTTCCTCCAAATCAATTCCCATACCTCTATCTACTAACAGTTTAAACCCAAACAAACACCTCTAACCACTTCTTCTAACGAGTTCGCAACAGCAACAACCCCAGCTCTCGATAGATGCACCCCATCACGAGCATACATTTCATTTCTTCCATAGAAGTGTTCCCAGTTGTCTATGAAAGATATTGCATTTGATTTGCAATATCTTTCCAGCCGGCAATTGACACCAAGTGCCCTCGATATCCATTCATTTCCCACTCCCTTTCTTGGAAGAATGCCACATATGATCGGGATTCCTCCCTTGCTCCTAACTAACTCTATGGCTGTTTTATACCTCTGAATCAGTTCCTCACTCCTAACTCGACCAACATCATTTCCTCCCACGCTAATGCAAATAATGGGATTGTTCCCATTTCCAGCCATAATATCATTCATGTTGTTTATAATATCACCAATGCCAGCTCCGGGATAGCAAACCCTTAACCTGTTCCCCCTATCTCTAGCACAAAATGTTCTATCCAAATACCTTATCTGGGAATCTGGTACTTCCTTTACTCTCTGAGCGGCCTGCGCTTCCTTGCTTTCCCTTTTGCACGATCCGCAGTCTCACCACAGCACTCGTCCTCCAAAACGTCAAATGAATTAGAAGTTGCTATGGCTTTTGAAGGCGGCTTTATCAAAGTCTTCCTAAGGCCCCTGTCTTTCTCAACTCTCCAAGACGAGGTCCCTTTACTACTGGTCTCCTCCTTCGTTACTTCTCGTTGTTCTTTCAGCTGACGCACCTCCTACCGCAGAGAGTCCAACTCTGTCCTCAGGGCTCCCACTAGAGTCACCAGGTCCTTCACTACAACTTCCATATTGCTATGATAATATAACAACACTCAGGAGCTCCGGTTAACACACCCTCTCACTGAGACTATCTGCGCCTGACTGAGGATGTTTTTAAACAAATAGTAAAACTCAAACCAAACAAATCCCCAGGGCCGGATGAAGTGTTTGCCAGGGTGCTTAAAGAATGCAAAGAGGAACTTTGTGACCCACTGTCAACCATATTTAATAAATCAATAGAGTCAGGCAGAGTGCCAGAGTTTTGGAAAGTTGCTAATGTGATACCAATTTTTAAGAAAGGAGATAGATCACTTGCGTCTAACTATCGACCAATTAGCCTAACGTCTATTGTGGGAAAGTTACTCGAATCTATAATAGCAAATAAAATTCGTCTTCGTCTTGAAAAACATAAATTAATAATTGAGTCGCAACATGGTTTTATAAAAGGCCGTTCATGTTTAACAAATTTGTTATCTTTTTATTCTAACATAGTTGAGGCAGTTGATAGTGGTAAGGATTGTGATGTTGTGTACCTTGACTTTAGCAAAGCTTTTGATACAGTGCCACATGAAAGACTGATTAAAAAGATAGAGTCTCATGGTATTGGGGGTGCTATATTAAGCTGGATTAGGGCATGGCTATACCAAAGGAAACAGAGAGTTAGTATAAATGGAGTCAAGTCAGAGTGGGAAAATGTTGTAAGTGGGGTGCCTCAGGGCTCTGTCATGGGACCTCTGTTGTTTAGAATATATATAAATGATTTAGATTCAGGTTTGAGTAGCAACATTTGCAAATTTGCCGATGATACAAAAATCGGTAAGGAAATTAATTCGGAGGAGGACTCACTATCACTTCAAGTTGATCTAGATAGGGTTTTGAAATGGTCGAAGGATTGGCAGATGCAGTTTAATGCTGATAAATGTAAAGTTCTGAGGTTAGGTAATGATGATAGGGTTACAAGATACGAGCTAGATAGTGTTGAGATTGCGAAGTCGAATTGCGAAAGGGATCTGGGCGTTATGATTAGTAAGAATTTAAAACAAAGGATCAATGCATGAATGTTCGTAATAAGGCAAATCGGACACTTGAATTTATTAATCGCTGCGTTAGTAACAAGACACCTGGTGTGGTTCTCAAGCTATATCTTGCTCTAGTTAGGCCATATTTAGATTATGCAGTTCAGTTTTGGTCGCCATATTATAGAATGGATATAAATTCACTTGAACGTGTCCAGCGTAGGATGACTAAGTTAATTCCCCAAATTAGAAATATTTCATATGAAGAAAGATTAACAAAGCTTAAGTTGCATTCACTGGAAAGGCAAAGAGTTAGGGGTGACATGATAGAGGTGTAGCGAGTAGATTATCCCAATAATATACTCGCTCCAAATATAGTGTTAATGTTCCTGTCAACCTTTGGAGATGAATGAGGTGAGGCGTTGCCCGGGCAACACGGTGAGATGCCCGAGCAATATAAGCAGCGGTGTAGCGAACATTAACTAGTCTACTTTCAAGTGTGGTCTAGAGCAGACACTTGCGAGATACTGTACCAACGCTCAGTGCTCAACTCACACCAACGTATCACCTGTGTACTTCTGTATATTCGACCAAATATATATATAGTATCTTAGTGTCTGTGTTTATTTGTCACCATACTTTACGTAACAATAGAACCGTTACAGAGGTTTACAAGTGGGTGAATGGACATAACAAAGGGAATATTAATAGGGTATTAAAAGTTATTAAAAGTATCAACACAAGACAGAACACGAAACAATGGGTATAAATTGGATAAGTTTAGATTTAGGAAAGACTTGGGTAAATACTGGTTCAGTAACAGGGTTGTTGATTTGTGGAACCAATTGCAGCGTAACATTGTGGAGGTGGGGTCCCTCGATTGTTTCAAGCATGGGTTGGACATGTATATGAGTGGGATTGGGTGGTTATAAATAGTAGCTGTCTCGTATGGACCAATAGGCCTTCTGCAGTTACCCTTGTTCTTATGTTCTTATGTAATAGCAGCTGCCTCACGTGGGTCTATAGTAGCTGCCTCACGTGGGTCTATAGTAGCTGTCTCATGTGGGTCAATAGTAGCTGCCTCGTGTGGGTCAATAGTAGCTCCCTCGTGTCGATCAATAGTAGCTGCCTCGTGTGGGTCAATAGTAGCTGCCTCCTGTGGGTCAATAGTAGCTGCATCGTGTGGGTCAATAGTAGCTGCCCCTTGTGGGTCAATAGTAGGTGCCTCGTGTGGGTCAATAGTAGCTGCCTCGTGTGGGTCAAGAGAAGCTGCCTCTTGTAGGTCAATATTAGCTGCCTCGTTTGGGTCAGTAGTAGCTGCCTCATGTGGGTCAATAGTAGCTGCTTTGTGTGGGGTCAGTTGAAGCTGCCTCGTGTGGGTCAAGAGAAGCTGCCTCGTGGGTCAATAGAAGCTGCCTCATGTGGGTCAATAGAAGCTGCCTCGTATGGGTCAATAGAAGCTGCCTCGTATGGGTCAATAGTAGCTGCCTATTGTGGGTGAATAGTAGCTGCCTCTTGTGGGTCAATAGTAGCTACCTCGTTTGGGTCAATAGTAGCTGCCTCGTGAGGGTCATGAGGAAGCTACGAGTAGAGACTACGGGAATTAATCCTCACGTCACTGGGAGACAGAAGTGTTATAGGGGACATGATCACCACATACAAGATTCTCAGTGGAATTGATAGGGTAGATAAAGACAGACTATTTACCACAGGAGCACACGCGGTAGGTGACACAGGTGGAAATTGAGTGCCCAAATGAGCCATAGAGACGTTTGAAAGATTTTTTCAGTGAAGAGTAGTAGTGAAATGGAATGCATTAGAAAGTGATGTGGTGGAGGCTGACTCCATACACAGCTTCAAGTGAAGATATGATAGAGCCCAGTAGGCTCAGGAACCTACTGGGTTTGTATATTATTTGATTGACAGTTGAGAGGCGGGACCAAAGAGCTAGAGCTCAACTCCCGCAAGCACAATTAGGTGAGTACACACTCGAGGCTGAACACCATAACCGGTTACTGTACCTGGCCCCTGGCCTAGACCCCAACATAACAATTACAGAAGGCGTTATGGAGCCTCCAAGTTACTAGGTGGGTGTGGTAGTGGGTTTAATGTCCAGTAGTGAAGTATGTGCCCTTAATACATACTTACACTTGCTCATACTTCACATTAATAGAAATAAACTATATTAATATTGTTGAAGTGACTTGTTACTTGTGAATTATTTGTTAGTGAGGCGGCCTCATGTGAGGTGAGGTGAATGACGTCACAGGTAGTTGACCCATCAGGCCAAGGTAGTCAAGAGGCGGGGCGGGCCGTCGTGAGGGAGAGGTGCTGCTCACCGCCCACCACTGGTCAAGGTAGTCAAGAGGCGTGGCGGGCAGTGTGGCGCGGGCCGTCGTGGGGTGAGGTGTTGCTCACCGCCCGCCTCACTGGTGTTACTAATTAGTCACCTGGACAGTGCTGTAGATCAGGTTACCTGCACCAGGCTTACAGGCAAGTTACTCTAGATGTTTAGTTATTTTATCACATTGTTTTATGTTGGTAGAACAATATTTGCTGACTTTGTAATTAACTATGGCTACAAAATATTACAACTTTATTTTAATTCAATTAGCTCTGGTTTACTTGTTAGTAAATATGATAGTGTAATATACCTTTGTCTATTAGTAGACACTTTTACCTTGCTCAAGACTTTTCATGAAGCTTATTAAAACAAAATTAAATTCTAAAACGACTGCTACGTGATTAACTGTTCCATAACAGCGGCGTGTTAACTTTATAGTGAAATTGAACCTTCGACCAAAAGCAGGTGGAAAAAATTTACAAATTTTTATAGTTAAATTCTGGCAGTTACAAGGTGTTTCTTGTGAATTATCAGACTTCAGGCTTTGAAATTTGGACCAAAGACTTTTAATTTAGCAAGTGTCACCCTCCCCCCCCCTCCCCCCTACAACAATCCTATGTGAATGCAACTAGCCATCCTGACTCAGTGTCGTCCACGCTGCAGCCAACACCAGAGACGCCATAATTAACATTAACCTCCTGTGTAACTAAGCACTATATTTTGTCCAATACAAGTAAATATTAATGTATATTTATATAGTGTATAGGTCTGATAGTTGTTGGACATTATAGCTCCAGAGTGTATTCCAACCAGTCTCCCTCGCGTAATAAATTACTATGTATAATAATAGTTCACGTATGAAAAACTATTTTAAATGAATCTAGTGTTAAAATGTATGAACTGTTGTGGGTCAGGGCACGGAGGAGCATAGATTGAGGACAAGTTATGTGAAGCGAACAAATAAACAAATCCACAAGGGCCGTGACGAGGATTCGAACCTGCGTCCGGGAGCATCCCAGACACTGCCTTAATCGACTGAGGTACGGGATTGGAGAGGCTACAGGATCAAATAAGCTGAGTATTAGTTCGGTTTCAACCCTTTTACCCTGTCGTAGCTCAGTCGATTAAGGCAGTGTCTAGGATGCTCCTGGACGCAGGTTCGAATCCTCGTCACGGCCCTTGTGGATTTGTTCATTTGATGCATCACGTTAGTGTGATCTCTGTGTGGTATATGTGAAGCGTTCTTCTCGTTCATGTTTGGCTGCCCGGGTTAACGACCACTTGGCCGTTGTTGAGAACGGCCTGTGGATGAGCCAGATCTGAGGTTGGGTTTTGCCATTGTGGTAAGTCGGCTTTTTAGATCAACCAAAGTCTGACCTGATCTATTGTTTAGCGGGATATTTCTCAAACTTTACATGAAGATGTGTTAATTTTATTATTGAGGTATTTAATATAATTTGTAATTTCAGACATGCACTCTCGTACATTAGTACAACGGCACTGCAGGAATGGTCAACCAGACCCAAGAAATTGGTCTCGTACAACGGCACTGCAGGTATGGAGGGATTAAAGTTACTTGGAAAAACGTCTCTTGAATCTCAGTGGTCATAATGTAGTGTATATATTCCCACAAGAACAATAAGTGAAGTGTTTAATAATTTTAATCATTTAACTCCCTATACCATGAAGCGGTGATCTTCTAATAGGTATAGTCTAATGTAATTTGTGCATCAACCACTTAAGAGTGGTAAACCATTCTTTTGGCCAGTAATTTGACTATTTAGTGGTAGGTAGTGTAACATGGTTAATGTTAATCTAACATTTTTGGGTACATTTCAATCCTCTTGCCTCCCCTCTCCATCCACCCTTCTGTTAGTCTCTTCTCTCCCACCAGTCCAATCAATTAGACAAAAATTACCCAAGAGGGTGATGCTTCAGCTGGGGTTAGAAGACTGTCCTGCGAGAGGAAAGTTATAGCACGAGGGGAAAGTGTCGGGGCAAAACCTAACGAGCTGAATATACCGTCGGGCACAGTTTCGGGAGTCTGACCACTTGGCAGCTACGTGGCCATTATCCGCATCTTGCACAAGGTATTGGTATCTGGAACGCTGCAGCATTTCTACAGATCAACAGATATTGTGGTCAGGTGGCAGGCCCTGTGAAGTGCTGGAGGTGAACGTTTCTGGGTCTCCAGAACTGCGTAACATAGTTTACCTGGTTTGGTGTTAGTGCTAAGTGTCCCTCATTATTGCGAGAAGACTATATAATTAGCAGAGCTCCTATGACCACAGGATAAAAGGTTTTAAAGAAGGGACACCAGACTACTCAAGGGGTCTATTGTTTTGCTGGGAATGAAGCCGTTACTAATGTCTCAGGGGGATGTTCCCTTTGTCCATGCTAACAAAGGAGGCTCCAAAGGAAGAGAGTTCCAGGCCGGATGCTCACCGAAGGTTTCCTTCATCCAAGACTAGAGCGTGTTAACTTCCTTTCGGATGCTTCCTGAAGTTGTCGGAATGAGTAACTTGGGTAGAACCTTCCTCTATAGATTGGATGTGTGTTCCCGTACAAAATGTCACTGGAGAGGCCAGTTTCTTGGCAGCTTTTCCTATTAGATTCTGGGCAGTCACTTGACTGCCCCAGAGCTCCTCCAAGCCTTTCTCCAGATTACTCTGATCACTAGTTATACCTTTGACTCGGGATCCCAGGGAGAAAGGGGGCCTCGTAGCCTGGTGGATAGCGCGCAGGACTCGTAATTCTGTGGCGCGGGTTCGATTCCCGCACGAGGCAGAAACAAATGGGCAAAGTTTCTTTCACCCTGAATGCCCCAATTACCTAGCAGTAAATAGGTACCTGGGAGTTAGTCAGCTGTCACGGGCTGCTTCCTGGGGGTGGAGGCCTGGTCGAGGACCGGGCCGCAGGGACTCTAAAAGCCCCGAAATCATCTCAAGATAACCTCAAGAAAGGTAGAACTCTGGAGAGAGAAACTGGGTGGCAGGATGTTTATAAACGGGAAGGTTTCAGACTTTGTAATAAACCTTTATGGGCCTCTTTCTCCATCTATATACATACATACGCAGGTACCTAGGAAGGGCAGCTCCTCCAAATGGTAAACTTCAGGTCTGGATGAACTTAGCCCATTCATGGATGGGTTGACCTGTAGTAAACCAACCTCTTTCGACAAAGGTCAAATGCTCGTTTCCAGCATCCCCGTCCTCAGGCCAGGCTCATTTGTGGTGACCGTCCCCCCCCCCCCCCCCCTCCTTACCTCCCGGTCAAATGTATTCATCCGGTTTAACATTGTGTAAACAATTGGTTGTCATGAGTTAATATTATAATTTCAATATAAAGTTAGGGGGTAGGTTAGATTAGGTGTTAAGGTGCTGTTGGCTATTACTTATATTAGAAGTAGGTGAAGTGAAAGTTAGAGCTTTAGAATTCTAATAGAGGTCGCCAGCTAAGCACCGAGAAGTTTGCACGCGATCTGTAGTAAAGTGTAACAGCTCGTCCTCGTAAACAAAGGCTAAAGTACATTCCATACACCTCCTAACCCCCCGCCCCCCCCCTAGGTTTATGAATGAAAAACCTGTTTTTAAATGTCTCGCCTTGAGGTGTTTCCGGGGCTTAGCATCACCGCGGCCCGGTCATCGACCAGGCCTCCTGGTGGCTGGACTGGTCAACCAGCCCGTTGGACGCGGCTGCTCGCAGTCTGACGTACGAATCACAGCTTGGTTGATCTGGTATCACAGCCTGGTTGATCAGGTACGTCACAACTGATGACGTTCAAACATATCTTTAACACTGATTCGTTGACGACTTTTGTTTGAACCACAATGCTGTAAATGATTCACCCACGTACTACAAATACAAATAATCGCCAACATAACCTAAACACCTAACCCAACCAATGCCTAAATATGCACTGTATACTAATTGTATAACAATATTTTTTTTTGTATTATATACTGCTTATCACATAGACCAACCAGGTCGTAACACTTGCACCAGAGAATCTTCTAAGGAACCAAATCTTTTGTATGGGACTTTACCTCATTTTGTTGTGCCAATATCTCTTCTCCGTTGTACCCATAGTCGTTGTCTCTTGTATAGCTCTCGTATCTCTAATTCCTTTTTTCGTAGTGAGTCTTCAAAAATGTAATGGCCCTCTGAGGCCAATGTTACAATTGACAGTTATTTCATGGGTTGTCACACATTATTGAATCAGTTGACCTGGTTCCTATTCTAGGGGGAGAACCACAGCCTTCTCTGGGGGAGAGGGTGGCCCCTGTTATCAAATACCCGCAGGACATTACATGGTCTGTTACAGCTATAGCTGCTTTGTAGTGTAACTGGACCTGGTGAGCAGGCGTCTCCTCCTCTTAGCCTCTTGGTCTGTGCCTATCGTTGTCTCCAGCTTGTTTGCCATATGCATTATTTCTGTTCAATCGACAGAATCTTTTATTCTTTCAATCGACAGAAATATACTTTTTCTGCTGTGTTCTGGGTGCCTGCTGTAAGAATCTTAGTCCTGTGTACTCTTTGAAATTCATAGTCAGTCCATAATTCATCTAGGTCTGCTCCGAGTACTAGTTCCATCATTATCACATACAAACAAGGCTAGAACAGACTTCCTGGTTTCATGTTTTCTCTCAGTTGATGCTATTGATGAGTTCTGTCAGTAGTGCTTGCGGCACAATCCTGGCTACGAAAAAAATCCATAATTTGGTCTAGTTTAGCTTTGCCCAATTATCTAGATACCTAATAGACGAATAGCAGACAAATGCGTAAACGAATGTGTGACGGGAAACATTGGTGGTCGTGCAGTCTCTAATTCCAGTCACAAATATAAAAAAAAATTTAAACTGCAAAGGTGTCTTCACAGTGAGGTAAACTGTAGGATAAAGCAGAGGGAAAAAAACATTTAAAAAATACTTTACTTTAAAAATAAATTAAACAAATTACAAAAATATCCAGGCTTGGCTCTAATACAAAGTGTGCAAAACACAGGATGAACAATCAAATTTACGTTACGTTAAGGTGCAAAATATGGTGCAGAATACTATGGGCTAGTCTGACTAAATCCGTTACCACACACAGATGTTAACAGGTCTACTTAGTTGAGCACACAGGAGTAATATAACTCATGTTGGGCAAGAACGCCCAATTTATGCAGAATATCAGCCGGGCAGATGGAGCTGGTGACTTCTTTAACTATTAACCGGCTGTTAAACTGATTACTTCAGAAGGCGTGGTCTCCCAGCGACCCAGGTGCGAGGTGGGGTGAGGGTCGATGGGGTAGGTAGACTGGTGGTATTGTCTAGACGTCTGGAAGTAGTTGTTTTTGACTGCAGTTCTTGATTAAATAGACGTGAATGAATAGAATAGGTGATAATGGAGTAGGCCGAATCTCTTCCTAGAGATTTTACCATGACAAATGGCAATTCCATAAAGTAATGTCAAGGTTTCATGGTGTCGTGGACTAGTAACAAGGAAGGTTAGACCTGCCTTAACGTGTGAGTGAACCCTTCAGGCCTGGGTGCACGAAACTAACCCTCTACGTTCTCTCCCTATGATGGGAACCCCCAACTTAATATAGCACCCCCAATACCATGAGACTCTAACTTTTTAATCAGTCTTTCATATGGCACTGTATCAAAAGCTTTGCTAAAGTCAAGGTACACAACATCGCAATCATTACCTTTATCAACTGCCTCAACAATGCTAGAATAAAAAGATAACAAATTTGTTAAACATGAACGGCCATTTATAAAACCATGTTGTGACTCAATTATTAATTTATGTTTTTCAAGATGAAGACGAATTTTATTTGCTATTATAGATTCGAGTAACTTTCCCACAATAGACGTTAGGCTAATTGGTCGATAGTTAGACGCAAGTGATCTATCTCCTTTCTTAAAAACTGGTATCACATTAGCAATTTTCCAAAACTCTGGCACTCTGCCTGACTCTATTGATTTATTAAATATGGTTGACAGTGGGTCACAAAGCTCCTCTTTGCATTCTTTAAGCACCCTGGCAAGCACTTCATCAGGCCCCGGGGATTTGTTTGGTTTGAGTTTTACTATTTGTTTAAGAACATCCTCCCTGGTAACTGTTAAACTCGTCAACCTGTCCTCGTCCCCACCCACATAGACTTGTTTGGCTGAAGGCATATTGTTAAGTTCCTGTTTAGTGAATACAGATACAAAATATTTATTAAAACTACTACTCATCTCTTCATCACTATCTGTTATTTGACCTGTCTCAGTTTTTTTTGGACCTATCCTTTCCCTAGTCTTAGTACGATATAACTGAAAAAACCCTTTAGGATTTGTCTTTGCTTGCCCTGCTATGCGAACTTCATAGTTTCCTTTTGCTTTCCTTATCTCTTTTTTAACATTTCTAACCAGTTGCACGAATTCCTGTTCTAAAGTGACCTCCCCATTTTTAATCCTTTTGTACCAAGCTCTCTTTTTACCTATAAGGTTCTTCAAATTCTTTGTTATCCACTTTGGGTCATTGGTATTCGATCTATTCAATTTGTATGGTATACTACGT